TATAAATCTGTGAATTATCCTAGGGCCTTTCAGCTGGCCCCCTGGCTCCAAATGTACAAAATATTTTTAGTCATATCACCTGCTAGAAATGATCTCTAGATACGCCGATGCGCCACAACCACGATCCCTTGTAATTAAACTAACTCTAGAGTTCTAGACAATTACTTAACAACTAAATGGCACATTGTAGTAATTATAATGAAACAAAGAAAAATCAAACGTACGGTGGTTATTAGTATAGGTATAAGTATACGACATTATGATTATTGATAAATGGAAACGCTGCTCGTGGCTGGTCTACATAAATAATGTTTAATAATATTTTACAATATCACTTTTGTTTTAGGCACCAACGGGTATTTCGTCCATACATGCGTATAATGTGTGCAGACGATGTCAATCACCATCAATATCTTAACAAGCTGGCGATGGTTAATTATTTCAACGGGAAATAATAGCATCGTCATAATAATATGTACTCGTGTTCGACCTCGGCGACCCGAAAACGACGTTCAACACGTGAGGGCGGCCCCGCGGGTCGATGGTGACTTAATCTATCACCCGGTGACGAATAGACGTAAAACGAAATAACGTCTTATAGCTGACCAGCTGGGCTACAATATTTGTATGCAATATATGAGTATGACACTATGAAATGTACATAGTGTGCACTGCGTTTCGTAAGAGCATTATTTAAACATCGTGTTATATAATATTTATGTACAGAGAGAATAATTTAATTTTAGTTGTACTAACGTGTTCTATGTGCAGTAGGTATACGGGATTCGATAAATTTTAAGCGTTTCCAACAACCTAACCCATCCCGTGGTGTTGCCAAAAATACCGCAAAAAAAAATTATGCACAATGCAATAAACTACACCACAGAAATGTCAGTATACTTGAGCAGTGGATTACGTTATTACGTTCCTCGGCCAATAACACTCGGTCTGCCGTAGAACGGTATCAACACCACTATGGCACTGGCCTAAGTGTGGTTAAAGCGTAAAACCAAGTAAAATCATTGGAAATCGCCTCCAACTCTGTTTATCGCTATTGAACTAATAGAGACTATAAGGTGTACAGATTGATTCACCAAGCATGATCGCCCCCGTAGTCATTGGGAAAATAAGAGGCTAGGATGTTTTAAAATTTATAGCGACTAAGAGGTATAACATTTTATAATTGGTTAGCTCTTAACGCGAAACATTGTCTAAATTTAATAAGTAGTAAATTAACTACTACCTACATATATTTAATATTTTTAATAACTTTCATTTCGTTGTCATATTCATTTATTTCTACATGTTGATAACTTGGATACTACTCGTTCTAATATTTTGATCTAGATACACTAACATTTAAAAACAAATCATCTGCTCATTGACAAACTCAAGGCAGGAATAGGCTATAGACGTACACTCCTTACTTAAGTCTGTAAAGTGCTTAAGCACTTACTGCTTGTGTATTTATATATGATATAGGTACATGCTATATATATTATAGAATATACATGATGTTTATATGTATAGTATTTTAAAACTGTTGACAATTATTCAAGGTACCGAGCTGCTTGTACGTGTGTAGTTGGCACTGCACAAATGTGTGTCTTGTATTAAAACAAATCATATAATACATTGCATTTAATGCGCATATTTTACATTGTAAATATAATTATAACATGCAATATTAAAACTGAATAAACTGATTGTCGAATACACATTGTCGTGACTTACGTTGACTACAATGTAAAATATGAGTATTAAATGCAATATAGTGGTATTATATGATATATATATATTATATATGTATATGTTTATTGTTTACATTAAATATTCCAATATATATTACAGTAAATATTGATAATATGTAGGTTCCTCTATAATCTATAGCAATATAGTATTCAATAATTTTACTAAAACAATAAGTCGAACAATTAAGTTTCAAATCAACTGATGTTTGCATTGGTCTAACAGACAGTAAGACTGAAAACTTTTATGTTGCACAAACATGGCGTCGCTGATACCTAGGAAGGCTCAAATAGTTAAATATATTAAAAAGTTAAAATTACACGCATTTTCGTAGAGTGTTTGTAAAACAGTATTTCTAATAACAACAATATTTTATTATGTCACTTTTTGGTAATAAAAAAAAAGATTCACCCATCAGTTTTCCAATGTATACCTAACTATTATTAAATATCAAATACATAAAAATATAGATATAATACCATAAGAAAACACAATTTAAAACTGAAAACTCGAAACATTAATTCGTTATGTTTTGGAACAATTTGCACACCGATAAATCAATCACCTAAGAAATTTATAATTTACATCTAAAAAATAAACGTAGCATCATCTATTGATGCCAAAGTCGCGTGTCGACACGCAAATCTGGTACTCTCTGACCCGGATCTGGAACTCTGATCCAAAAATTGATTTTTCATTCCCACGTACCTATACGTTTATCAGGCATTGGCACAATACTGGCTCCGATACGGCTATTGAAAATAGTAAGGAAATATTCGTGAATGTATTGAAAATTGTATTAAAAAATATACATACATATTATGCAGGGTAACACATCATGTTATCTTAGTCCTCGTACAAACCCTGAACCAACTCTACTGCAGAGGTGTGTCCAGAATCAAAACTTAAGACAGGCTGCACAGTTATATCAGTTTAAGCTTTGTATGAAACAAATTAATTTTTTAAACGGGAATTTTTAAAATTAGTAAGATTATTATATGAATATGCAATCAGAGGAATGAGAATCTTATTGATCACGAACTTTAGTAAACTTCGATGTCCATAATAAATCCCATGACGTAGAAAATGAATGCTCTCGTGGTTGTACTTCACAGTTTAAGCTAAACAATAATATCGACCATTTCAGAAAACGAATTTTATTTTTATTTTTCGAGACGATAAAGTAAAATTTAAAAGTCATTTCTAACTTATAGGTAAGTTGTAAGTGGCGATTTAAAATGTGTTTCTTGATTTACAATTATCTACTATTATCATACTTAATTAATTTTACAGTCACTTAACATTATTTTTTTTCTAATATGAACCCCATAGATTTAAAATTTATTTTGTTTTGTTCAAATGTTTTTGTGTATATACGAGTATACATAGTTACAACAAAATATTTAACAGATTTTTAACTAAGATGAGAAACTCGTAACTTTGATAATAATTAAATAGAAAAAAAATTAACTTTAAAACATACATTTTTCAAAATTAGCTTAACGAATTAAAAAAAAAATAGCCATTCTCCCAGCCTTGAGTATAATAATATTATATTATACTAATCTGTAGGATGTGGACTCTGCACTTATTATTAATATTAAGTACATAATCCTTATACTGGTTTGCAGACACGGCGATTGTATTTACTCACTACCTATAATATTAATACATCCTTATGCTTCTCATTACGATTATGTATAACACTGCAGCAATAGTACGAATTACAGTTTTGCATTGTTTCTCGTTCAGTGTTCCGAGAATGGCAATTTCGTCTAAATACAACCGATATATTATTATTATTATTATCGCAGTAGGCACACAATGTACCACGGCCCTAGGCGGTGGTGGGAAAAAAATAGTATAGTGTGAAGCAGCAAGCAAACCGATGAGATATTGCGAGAATATTCACGGTCTGGTGATGGTACCTACGCAAACAGTGTGGTGTAAAACGATTTCAGATCTCCGTGGTTAGGCAACTCTAGGGTATATCAATCGGATTGTTTGTGAACATAATATTATATACTTACCTGCAGCTACTATAACAACGGTCGAGATGTTGCCGGTTAATTCTTCGTAAAAAAAAATAAATAAATAAAAAATAAAAAATTATACTGAGGCCAACCGATCTCGTTGTTATACTGTGTTGATTATCGGGCAAGGTGCAACGCGTTTTTGCAAGTTTCGAAAGCAATTGTTTATTGATGTTCGTGTTTGTGGTGTTATATTGTAGGTATATAGGTATTATATTGTTTCTTATTTTCTAGGCCCGTTTATCACGCGCAAGCCGATAATCTGTCGCGTTTAGGATTTTAACACTTTTACTATTTTCCCCGAGTTGAGATTTTTTTATCTCCGGAGAAAGTCCGATAATGCTTTTAAACAAAAAAAATTACGTTTTTGCTGTATGGTTTTAAGTTCGAATATTGTCATCACAAAACGAGCTTATGATACACGCACGAACCCTCGAGGAGGTATACCTCATATATTGGAGTGTATACCTAGGTAGTGGTTGGTGTATCTACTGCATAAAATAAACAACGCGATTGTTTCAGAGTATATTAAAATATTATGATAGCGACATTTTGAGTACCATATGGACCGTTAACACGAGGAATTCTGTTTATTTTAGTGTGGGACACTATATATATTAATATTATTATAACCAATATTCGTTAGTATATAAAAATGTAGGCCACAGGTGATCGTAATAGCATATATATTTAATAATTAGTGATGGAGGGTGAAAATGTTGCTTAACACGAATGAGTGATTGAATGATTTTAAGCTATAACCACAAAATTCTGTTATAACTTAAGGACCAATTTATTCTATCGACGAATAGTTTTCTAAGTTGAATCGTCCACCAGCAAACTTCACCATTAATGACATTTTCCAATTAACTGAATCGTTATTCCGTACCTACTTTCAAATTATTACCATTGGTCGAATAACACATTTTTTAGTTTTATGCACCTACTCACGTTTTGGATGAATATTGAAAATATGTCAACAGATCTCTTCGCGGATTAAAGTAACGCGAACAGGACTTTTTCAGATGAAAGACTGAAATCATGTTTGTGACTTGTTCTGATGTTGTGGTATATTTGGCATTCGGTGATAATGTGTTGATGGTGACTTGGACCGCGAGCCGTGCATATTGGAAGTTCTTCCTTGGCCATTAAGAAACTGTGAGAGATTTAAGAGTTGCCGATTTTTGAGTCTTCTTAAGATAACTTCAAATTGAGGTTATGACTGCTAGATCAGCTAGCTCATTTTCTGCGATGTTAGAGTGTCCAGGAATCTAGAAGAGTTTGACTTTGTAGTTATTTAAAACATTTTATTAATACTTTTAAACGTATATCCAGGCTATTGTTAGTGTTTTTTGTTTTCAAACACGCAGATGGTCGAGAAAAAAATATGCATAAGTAATAGGTATATTAGATCATGTTAGAAGTATTCTAATACATATGTGTTACAAATAAAATGTATATTATCATAACAAAAATCATACACATTGTGTTCCTAATAATTATTATAATGAGTAATTACAATGCAATTTACACTCCAACAATAATATTGTATTGGCGTGTTATAATGCTATTTTAAAAACATTAACTCTATTCTCATAATATGCCAGAGACTTTAGTTTGATTAAGCTCTGATCTATGAAGTTGTTTTTCGAGTGTAAAAGTGGTAATTTATACCTGCAGTAGACTAACTAAAAACAGGTGTTAAATAGTGAGCCATAGTTTTTAATAGGATTAAATAACCATGGTAAGAATAATAGAACTAAATCAATATAATGTTTAAAAATGATTTACCTATTTAATTATTTATATTCATATTTACCTTAAGTATTAGTAAATTTAAAAACTATTGTTAAATCCTGTTATAATTATTTAAACTACAAAAATATTATGTAAGTGTTGTAAAATAATTTATTCGTTCATAAAAGTTTTTTTAGCTGGAGAATAACTAAATAGTTTGAACTAGTTTATTATTATTAATATTGTTTTTTTTTTATCTAAAATATATTCCATCTGTTTAACAATGAGTAATAAGGATAACAGAGAGAAAAGTATATTCAAAACATGAACCACAAAAGGAGGAGATATTTCTTACAATTTTACATTTTACATTTTTCAACATTCATAAACAGAACCACACACATTTTTTTCCTATCTTAGGAGGTTACTAAACCAAATTCTTTTTAGTCGACGAGGACTTTTCGGTAATTTAGAGAGTACATATTCTCAATGAAGCGTTAATCTTAATATGGTTAGTTAATTTTTAGTGCAACTTTTGAGCGCAAAGCGCTTTTACTGTTTGCATTTTTAAATTGTTATGGTGGACTACATTATTTACTTAACATGGAGCACCGCTGATAATTCTTAAGAGTCATCGACTAAAAAGCTTGATAAATGTTGTGAAATTGGTTTGTTATTTTGATTTTAGTGAGGAAGCGATAAACATTCCATTTTATTTAGGGAAAAGTTTACCTGAGCTGATATTTTGTCATTGGTTTTAATTTTAAAGTTTTTGGCTCAAGATTCTATTTTATTTAGATATAAATATGTAATTGAACTAGTTTAAAACTAATAAAGACACTTTTACAATCCATAAACTATCATATTAGATGTTCACTAAATTTTAACAGGAAAATTATTTACTTAATGAGTTACAATTTTTCTTTATTAAATTTATTATTTTAACTTAAAACTAATAAATTATACTTATAACTTATTCTTCTGACTTATCAATATATATATTATATATCTTAAACATTTATAGAGTTAAGAATATTTTTGACATATATTCACTGCCTTTTCTGTTTTTCAAATTGTCATTTACTAATTAAAATAAATTTTAAAAAATTCAATTTCTACACGCATCCAATTTAGTGCGCTTCATTCTTTCTGCACTTACTTGTGTTAACTTTTAGTCAAACCATGATATAATTACTCTTATATTTTATTTAGGTATACAAAATATGTCAGTTTTCAAATATTTTTAATTATTTAAATTATTATAAATTAGATAATACCTATATCGACACTTGCTTACTTTCAAAATAATGTATTTTTTAATTGTCTATTCATAATAAATAACAATTTTAACTAGAGAATGTAATTGTACGTGGCTATTATATTTGTGAGAATAATTGTTGGTAAGTACTGTAAGACGTTATATTATACTTATATAACATAATGAACAATTACATTTTTAATTCTGGCATACCAGTAGATTTGTATTTTAATTTATAATTGTATTGCTGTGTGATATTTATCTTAATTACATGTCATGAAGAATAGTTTATACATAATATCTGCTGGATAAGTATCTAAAAACAAAAAATCGATTACAAACTATAATTGAACAAATCTTATATAATAGTTTTTATTACAGGAGTATTTATTTTCCTGATTCATTATTTGAAATAGCTGGAAATGCCGTTAACGAACTAAAGGAGCCGATTAGTTGGTCGTGGTCGGTATCAAATGTTATGGATTGGGTACAATATGGGTTAGGATTGCCTCAATACGTAGTGAGTAGTTGCGAGAATGTGTTAAACAAATTGAAATACTATCTTTAAAAATACATTATTATTTAAAAAAATCATAATGTTTAGATATGATAGTGTTATGTATTGTATAACGTTAGATGCATGTGGCACTAGAGATGCAACTTCGAATTGTCTAAATTCTCGGTTAATTGAAACTTATTAATTTATTGTCTTTGCGTAGGAAGAGATTTTTTGAAGATTTTCCCAGCTATATTAATCTTAATAAATTGTTTGCCAAAGGTTCATACTCTTCAAAAATTTACTTCAAAAAAAAAGAACCAATGCAGCCTTGTTCATATTTGACGCTGTTATAAATGGCTACGTTATAGGTATGACAACAATTAATAAAATTTTCAAATAGTGAAGAATATTATCGGTACAACAGTATTCGCATAATTTTTAAATCCTGGGTACCGAACTACCAAATGCAAGAGCTCGAATACTATTAATAATTATCATTAGGTATTGATTTAACGATGAAGAGATTTTCTTCTGCTTTTATATACACGGTATTGTGTAGGAGGACATTGTCTACTATTGAAATTTGAAGTCATATTTGCTGAAACATCATTAATATTTATTACTATCTTTTTTTTTTTTGAGAAAACACATCCGCTTTTGGCCTTTGACTATTGTCTTTATCTTTGTTATTGTTATTATTATTACATACCCACATATTTAAGGAACATCCATAATTTACTTACCTACTTTTAAAATAAAATCTAGAATTGTCTTTTAAACATTGTGATCGAATTACAGATAATATTCAAGGAGAACAAAATTGATGGTAAAAAATTAATTTTCATTAACTGTCAAACACTGCCTTCTTTGCATATTACAGACTTTGATCATATCAAGGTAAGACTATTATAATTTACAGGGAAAAGCATTTCATAAATATAATATATATATATAATATGTAGGTAGACGTAAATTATAATACGAATATAGGTTATCTGTAAAACATATTTTAATCCTACAGAAGACATCAAATTCATTAACCAGATGGTCTATACACCTATTTGAGGTACCTACTACTTTTTTCCATTACCTTTAACAAAACCATATGTTTTATGAATGCTTAAAAATATTTGATATTCTATCATCTTATGTTTCAATAATTTCTTCTTGGTTAGATCATAACATTTTGCGTACAGTTATAAAATTATACGTCCACATATTTACGATTCCTACCTACCTGTCCTAAATACGTAATAATATACTATGAACATAACAATTATCGATTTAACTTAATTTAAGCCACGTTGAATGTCGATAGGTAGCAGCTAATTACTAGTAAATAATTATATAGGTAGGTCACCATATCATAAGCTTATATGCCACTGATACCTTTCTATACTCTTACTCATAGGCCATAATTATACTACTCGTAATTATCTTACCTTCTCTATCGAATTACAGGTGATTCAAATTTTTCTAAAAAATCAAAAATTGCATAATTCTAACTACATTAATGATGTTTTAAAATAATATTATAATAATACAAAAATCAGTGTTTATTAAACTGTTAAGGGTCAAAATTGATCCTATTGAAGCAACTATAGGTATATGTAGTATAAATAATTGTATATTGGATTGTCATGACTCATGAGTTCGAAAATGTTTGCTAGTATAGCTAATAGTTATAATTTTAACATATTTAAAAAAAAGTTACGTGGATAACGCCCTACTGTATATTAGCCCGATTAGGTGTCTAGACAGTCACTGCAGTAATGGATGTGTTACATTTGAATTCAATGATATAAAGTTATTGTATACTAAAACTATTTTGAACGAAGTCGGGTGACCTATAATATATTACTAAGGATATTTTATGATATTATTGTAATTAAAGTAATTTATTTTACTATTAGGCATTATAGTACTACAGTATATTAAATTAATTTTAAAAAAAAGTTGTGGGCAAAAATTGCTTTGAAAATGTCATTGTGTGTATAAATTATAAAATATAATAAAATCCTCTTAAATTTTTAATTACCCGTGAATAATATTCTAAAATTACAACAAAATAACTAAAATAACTAATTTGAACATTTTCAAGATTTTGATCAACTTTGTCAAAATTTGAACTTTATAAATACATATAAAAAAAAAGTCACGTCTATATGTATCTTTAATATGTTTAACTATTATTATAAAGACACACGATGAGAAACCTTGTATTCAATTTTCAAACTTATTGACCCAGCGAAATAAATTGAATTTACATAAATATAAAAAAAAATCGCAAGAAATTGAAAATTTCGAATGTCTAGTCAAAACTAATCAAAATATTATTTATACAATTTAATAGTGTATTGAAAATAATAATGTTAACATCCAGTAAAAATTTTAAGTTTCTACGTTTGGCAGTTTTTTTGTTAGGTACATTAAAAAATTAATTGATTTTGTTAAAAACTGGTTTTGCTTAAAAATCCCTGTTTTTTTTTTACGTTTTCTTGAAGTTTTTAAAACTGATAGGATCATTAAATTTTGACCTCTCTAAACTATATTTACTTTTCTACCAGAAAACATACTGAAATTGAAAATAAAAATATCGCTCCTCTCAGAATCTAAAATCTACTAACTAATAGATTTTACAAACACACACTAGTAGGTATATAAAATATAAACTATTGGTACTGTCTAATGTTCTAATTCAAAAGTATCCACTAAAGTTAGGCTCCATAATTATAAGTCTATACTGTGAGTTTTTGTAGTCAACCCATATTAGGTAGTATAATTTATGTTTGAATAAAAAATAAACAAAATGTTAAATATATTGTATAATAATATTATAAACCCATCGTTTAAATATATAAGATTAATCGGTTACGTACAAACAATCGAATTACTAATAATGAAATGCGTCATGTTGTAATAATGCGTAGTGAGATTAAATGACCAACAATACGTCCGCTATGATTCATATAAGTACGTAACGCACTTTGATTATTTATGCGAAGATTAAAATATAAGATATATAATATTCTAAGTAAAAATAATACAAGGCGACTACATCAAAATATATGTCTTTAACGTTTAATTTCCATCTCCGTCGTCATTGTATAAGAAAGAATACAATGGTTCGGTAACAATGCGTAATTCTCATTGTAAAATACATAATATTCTATTCTTAGACAAAGTAACAACTGTAACTCTATATGACATAAACGGGGGTAGAAGGCTGCTGTGACAGTGACATCTGCATAGGTATCTGATACAAAGTAAATACAATTCAAAGTGGTACATGACATTTATGTGCCCAACACCTTTGTGTATGTTATCAAAAATGTATCTGAAAATGGTAAACACATTTGGGTGCATTTCTGAAAAACACTTTAGGCCGTAAAGTGAAAGATACGTTTGGGCCAAATTTACTTACATGTATAGGGAAATATTACTCCCAAACGTTGTATGGATTTACACCCTAAAGTTGTGTGTTTTGACAAAATGCGTCCCAAGTCCAAACATATTTCTCCCAAAATCATTATATTCTCGAGTTTGCCCAGGTCACATTAAGATAACACGTAATACTTTGGAGCATCTATTTAATATTTTATTTTATTTCACCAAAATTCAAGTATCTACCGTGTTAGATAATTACATAATGCCAATTATGAAAAATTGCTGTAACAAAATTACTTTTTAAAAGTAATTTTTGTGAAATTTAAAATCGTTTTTTACGGGACTTTTCATTACATGCGTATTTATAATAATTTATCAGCTATCGACAAGTGATTGTATGAATTAACAGCAACGGTAATTCCAAAGTAGGTAGCGGCCACTTTAAGTTACAACTCGAATACTAAAATACCACTATACCAATGGTCAGTGTTCGATTTTTTTTCATTTATATGAAAATACTCAAGTTACCAGATATTATATTAATACAATGTGTATTAATACTCAAACATAATACCACTCAATGATAGATTATTTCTAAATAGCAATAGGATATCTTGGGTAATGATTGTTGGTAAAAGAGATGAAGAAGAAACTTGTTGCCGAATCAAATTGGAAGATAAACCCATAAACCACATACTTATTAAGTGTACTTATAATTTATAGGGCTACTTAAATAAATAAAATATGAGTGCTTTAATTTATTTACTTTTGGATTTGTTTATAATATATAATGTAAGTAATGAAGTAATTACACTGACCAATATCTGTTTTTTTTTATATAGTTAAATAAGAGTCATTTGGGGAGGTACAAATTATAAAAAGTGATGAATTAGTTCTTTTTTAAGTTGCTAAACAATAATAATAACATAGCTGTTTATTTTGAATAATATATTTTAGTAGTTCAGCTCTCCTAAAGAATACGATGACATTTTCTGGTTGGCAATCGAGGTCGATTATTTCATAGAGATTCCCTGGTAGTTGTATTCTTTTCTCACTTTTTTGTTGGATCTGCACTCCAATGTGTTTCACCTTTCACCGTTAGTACTCAAGGGTGGACTGGATACGAAGTGCATTCTTTTGGTGGATAATTCTGCATGTGACGTGTGGCCAATTCTCAATAGGTTTATTGTTATTTCTGTTTTTCTTGATATTTCAAATTGTTATCAGATTTTTTTTTATGAGCATAATTTTGTATATTCTTTTATTTATATTTTTGCATTAAGCCTATCAATTTTAATTTGGGGTTATTAAATACTGCTGTTTTTTGTTTTGTTTTATTGGTCGGCTAATTCGATTTATTCTAATTACTAACGTAATAAAACGTGATATCAAGTTTATACAACGTAACTTAAGCGTAATTTAAATTATATTGAGCAATGTTCACACCCACCAACATAGACTCTCTAGACTTCTAAATTCATATTATTTATAGAATATTTAATGAAATAAATAAGAGTAGCAAGTAGGTATCAAATCTTATAATGAAAATATCTTAAATTTTCTTTGTGATCCCCTCGTCTACCACATATGTTAGTGTAATTTCATGAATTCATGAATATTGTGACTGATTGTAATATTAAAACAGTATTTAACTATAATTTTGCTAAGTAGCAGTGTCTAGCTACTATTTATTTATTTTTTAAAAATGTAATTACCCATTGCCCCATAAAATATTAAACTTTGAGTTTGGCTTCTTGCTATAAAAATATTAAATACAGAGTGAAGGAGTGGGGCACTTAAACGGCCGATTTTAGAAATAGATTTTCTTGGCAGTAGTTTAAGTTTTTTTTTCTTATTAAATAATATTAGTTTTAAAATAACATGCCATTTAGCAAACATGGGACAGTAGAGTCGGAAACAACGCACTTGAGGTATATTGAAGAACTAAGACACCAAACCCGAGAAGAAATTCCCAATACAGTGTATTGAATACACCTTTGGAAGTGATAAGCAATGTAAAATGGAAAAAATACGAGGAAGATTAGAACGTTTAAAAAAATTTGACGGTCGTCTTGAGGAAATCATCTTTAAAAAATGAATGGCATGTTATGTACATTGTTTTAATATATTAATAATTGATGTTCATTCGGTTTTTTAATTTTATTATTAAACTTTAAAATTGGCCGTTTAATTACCCCACAATATATTACCTTATAATATAATAATGTATAATTATTGATCGATACCTATTTTATGTTTATAATATTATCACTATTTTAATATTTCGTAATAACTAATAACTAATAAAGTATACAATTTAGAATACGTAGTCGGAACTGCATGAAAATAAAGAACCTAATAACTATTTAATACACTGCTGCAGTCTAGCGCGGACCTGATAACTTATATAAACTAACAAAATACAAACCACCTATTAAATTAATTATAATTATTACTCGTCCAATTTAACGCACTGTCTATCAATAGGTGCTTTAAAATTTTGATTTTTTAAATTATAATAATGAGTTACTCGATAAGTAACGTTAAATTAGTATTTATTAAATTCCGTGTGACGAATAACGTGTGATTTAACTACTTTAATTTAAAAAGTACAATTACGACCTACAATTTGAAAATTATTATACAACTAAGAACTTATCTAGACTTCTAGTACTTTTTTTTTATCTTATTAGCTCTCTAGGCAAGTGTCGTTTGAGTCTTCTACGTACATTACCGAAAAGAGAGAGTTTAAGTATTTTGTAGTACCTATGAAATTTAAAGTAATATAATTTTGCTAATTAATTTAGGGTAGGAAGTTTTAGATCTTTCTGAAGATTTGAATTGTGAGCGGAGCGATAAATGTATTGATTTTACAATGGTGTGTGTTTTTTTAAAGTTGTAATTTAAAAATATTACTCGTGAGTACTTGAAACTCAAAGAGTATATTATTTATTATTATATACATACACATTACACACAACGAGTTTTAAAAAGTAATTTTTTGGCAAAAATGAATTTAACCTACTGCACTATTAATTCTTAATAGTAAAATAAATTACTTTAATCACAATAATATTATTAAATATATTAAATGACTAAGTGATATTATAGGCTGATAGACCGTCTTAGCTCAGAATCGTACAATATATAATATATTTAATGCAATGTATTTATAAATCGTATACAATGATTTTAAATCATTGAATTCAAATCTTACACAATCCATCATAACAGTGGCCCACTTGTAACCTGCTGTAGATCAGAGTGACATCCACCCCGCTTTTTGTTTGTGAAATAACAAGGAGAAGATATTACTAGTCGTAAGCAGATGGATTGAAACACCTGAAGCATTTTGGCATTGGATGTTTTTACAAAATCCAATAACTGAATAGATTCTGTATGTCCAAACTGGTCAAATAATTGATTCGTATGTGGTAAGTTTATTGGATATTGAGACTTGAGAGTTTGGATTCCAAGAGTAGGGTTTAAGGAGTAGAAATGTAGAGTTAATAATTTAAACCCCAAGTTGTATGTGTGAGCTTCGAGTTATCTAGAGTTATACCAAGATATTTAACTTAATTTTCCGTTGGAAATATTTGATTGTTTAAAGTAACAGGTGATGAATCGAGATTTTTAAGTGAAAAGCTTAAGTGAACAGATTCAGTTTCGTTTATTTTAATATTCCACCTGTTTACCATCAAGTTAATCTCTTTTTTAAAAAAGTTTTGAATCTTAGCACGGGCTGTAACGTGGTTTTCGTGGGTCTATAGTACTTTTAAATCTCAAAATATATATGCACTTACGAATTATGATATAATATGAACTTAATAAACAATAAATACTTAGAATGAACTCTAAAAACATGCATTTAATGTTTATTATTTAAAATAAAAATAAGAAATAGGTATTACTATTTTATATGAAACTAGCTTAACTCCGACAGTTCAAAGACGAATCAGACGTAACAAGTTATTTTATATAATATAATATACCTAGATAAAAAAAATGTTCAATTATATTTTGAAACAGTTAATTAAATAAAATCTTGCTAACTTAGCTTATTATCCCAAACTTGTTTGACACACTAAACTTTGCTATATGTTCTAATACGCCTACTCATATATGCATTTAAAATGCAGTTTAAAGAGTAATGAAAAAAAAAATGCAAATTACAGTTTTAACTTTTAAGTATAGCTTTCCTTGCGACAAACGTTATATGTAACATATTTATAGATCACTCACGTGGCACGGTGACCTATCTAGAGAAACTACGAAAAACTAGAAATCCTCAGAACCTACTACATTTAGTAATATTATATATTATTTATCAGTACATAGCAAAAAACGTGAGACACTTGTATGGTCTACCTCCGGACACCGAATACCACATCGGTATCAGTGGCCAGCGGTCGGTGTACCACGTGTACGGCCGGTATTACTTGCACTTGGCCAACACTTTTGCGGCCGGCGGACGGCGGTCGGCCACGGCTGGCCGCAGAGTGCAGGAGGAAAAGTTGTCGCTGTTCGGTTACATGAAATTGGTGGGCATGGTGACCGATACGAGACACCGCGGCCCCCGGACGTCTAGTTGTCGTACGGATGACCGGCCACCGCCGCCGAAACACAAAATACTGCTGGCTCGGTTGCCGGCCACCGAGTACTTGCGGGGAGGACAGTGCGCTCACGCAGATCAGGCTGTGGCGCGGTTGCGTCCAATGCAGCTGGAGACGTGCACGAAACAGCCGTGGCCGCCTGCGAAACAGTGACTGCTGAGTGGCCACATCACATTTTCCTCTAAGGATTACGCGCATATTATTAAAATGATGTCGCAAAGGATAAGCACATCCTCGAGCTGTACAAAATGTACGCACTCGTGCACATAACACACATGAAATATGCGCTTTAAACTGCTCTACTGACATATTTTGTTAGATGTTCATTATTTGAAATAAAAATAGTTTTAAAAGAACTTGATAATACTGTAATAGTCACTTGTTGCTGTAGACACCTGTAGCAGTAGTGGATTAGTTGGGTGGCCCAGCGAAATTTGGATTCGACATACATGTGTTACATAATGAGCAGCGATAACCTATCGATTCCGCCATCAGTCGAATCCATATATCGCGTTATTATCTTTTTCTCGCGTGAAATGGACAACGTGTGCATCCTTTCACGAAACTCCGGTTTCTTCACTTTTGCAGTATCGCACAGTATGGTCGTATAGATAACATTTCACGAAATGGATGGGTATAGTTACCTAAACTCAGTGGCGGCGGGATATAATACTATGTATTTGAAGCAATTGCTTCATAGCTTCATAGCTTCAACATAGCAAATTATCATTTTGATATAATAAAGGGGGTGGTTGGTGGTAAAAATATTAAAAATATACAATTGGCTTCAAAGACTCAAAAAGTTCGAGCCTCAACTGCCTAAACTATACATGTGCGTCGGTCGTGGGCATAATATGTAAACTGCACTCAAATGACCTTTATTTTGTACACTGCACCCGGATTTTTATCCATGCACACGATTGTACACTTTTTACCTTTTTACCTGCAAAAAAACAAAAAAACATAGCACAATTTCAAACAACAAATACTTTATATTGTTGGCTTTAAAGAAATTTACAATTCTCCTGTAATGTATATAAATTATTATTTATAATTAAATGTATTATTATTCCTACAAAATATTTTTTTTTCTTAAACAATACTTCGTGAATTAAAACTTAAATTAGCTTTAAAACAATTTGGGAGACTTGCTGAGTATAGACTGAATGGTTTACTTACTTGTAATTAATATGAATAAATAAGTAAATAAATTACGGATTACTTTAGAGTTAAGATTTAATCCAAGTTAAGAGGACTCCACACCCGCATGTGTTATATCCGTCTTTCAAATGAAAAACAACAAAAACTGTCAAAAAAGAATCGATAAGGCTACAGAATAACTAAAAAACCGAATTTCCAACATAGATACAGAATAATTTTAACTTTGTCGTTTTTATTTTTTCGATAAGATCAATATACCAAAAGTTATTTAAGTTTGGAAAACGTCAAAATATCAGGTTTTTAAAAGTATTATAACTTTTTTTTATTAATGATATTAAACAAATAAAAACGCTATAACGCAGAAAATATTATCTTCTACTCGTATATTGCATTATTGTGTACACTTTTAGTGTCTAGTGTCTACTAGGACTACACATTGAGAGGTTCTATCCCGCTATTTTTGATATGCTGCACGTTTGTAAGACAGAGACAACACACGCGGGTGTAGCGTCTTTTTAAGTTAATTACTAATAATTAATAATTACAAAATAATAAATAAAAGGAAATAGAAAGTTATTTTAAATTGTATTTTTTGAACGAATTAAATCATAAAATATTTTTCCCATAATCATAAAAAATAACATTCGTTGTTAAGTATTAATAATTCTAGGTAAAATATTTCACATTCAGTTAATATGTTCATATCTAAATTTTTAATTTATATTCATATTTAGAAATAGCCAATTGTCAATAGCCACAACTGGGAATCTTGAATTTTTTATAAAGTAGGTACCTATTAAAATTGTAAAAAAAAACGTAAGTTAAGAAACTGCGGTTCCATTTCGTGAGATTGATGCAAACGTTGTCCATTTCACGAATAATTAAAATCGTGATATATAGATGCGACATGTATAAACAATTACTTCGGATTCTTCTAATTATCTGTAATATAATTAAATATCATTTGGATAATTATTGTAGAATATAATACGTTTAAGAAAAAATATTTTACTTTCAAAGCGTGACTTTTACATTTTTCATACCGTGTTAAATAAACACGAATCTTATTAAGACGTACTGGTACTATACCTATTATCGTACATATAATTTCATAATATGCCAAATAATAAATATCCAACTTATTTACTAGTGAAATACTGAAATTAAGCTCTGTAATATAATAAAACGTGTCACGCCAAATATTTATTATTGTAATTTAAACAAAATATAATAATAAAATAATAGATTTGTCCTTTTTTATTTAACCAAAAATTAGATGTTGAAATGTGTAGGTACACACTGTACACGACAATGTGAACTCTCAATAAACGATGTTCAAAATGTATTCCAAGGTATTATATAAGCTCCCTGTTTAATGGGTAAACCACACACTTGTCATTAGGTACATAATTTCACATAATTTCTCTGCAGCAGACCAAGTGTCAAACTCGGTCAACGTTCACGAATTATCCGGATTCGTGATCATCCAACACGTAGTTTTAGTGTGGTATTGAAGACGGATGAATCACATAACTGAATAATGTTCTCAAATTACGGTTATATATATAATAACTAGTAATATATATGGTTGAAAAAAAGAGAAAAACAATTCGCAGATGACCCGACTAAAGGGCATTTTACACAAACGTGACATGTCGTCACCACTGTGACCATAGACATCTCGGCATCTCGCTAAGTGCAACCGTCCAATTATCAAATACTAAATCAAAAGTTGTGTAAGCAACGACCAATCGAAACATTCTGTAACACAATGAATCGTAAATCGTAATAGCTACATAAACGTCAACAACTAAACAATAAATTATCGTAAAAAAGTGTTAAAATCAATATGGTCCTCAATCTCTAAAAAAAATGAAAAGACCCGATAATTTTTTTAGTTTTGTACGTTATTTTATTTGTGGAAAAACTACGGTTTGGTTTGCTAACAATATATAATAATACCGTTGTTCGTTTATATGAAAACATAGGTTGAGAAGAATTTAACCATTTAAGTAATCATAAACGCCATAATATTTTATCTTTTATTTCACAATCTATGTGTTATATATTTGTTTCATTATTACTATTATAATTTAGATGGCGAGAACGGATAACTGCCACTTAAAGTGGAAGTACAACTTATAATATATAGGCATATATCTTATTTGTTAACAAAATATGACATTGTAACATCTTAAGGTTAGGTTAGGTCAAGTTTTACTCGAGTGTTGAAAAAAATATTTTATAAGGTGCACTAGCTAACTGATATAGTGTTAATAATTTGAAATATCTTGAGTGTTCTTCTGAAAATGCTTCTGGAAGTTTTTTGAGTGCATAGGTATTCATTAAAATCCATTGAAATGTTGGAAAATATTTATTGTTGAAGTATGTAATGATGTATCACATAAGGATACCACTTTCAACACATTCATTTTAAAATATTTTTAGTAGGTACCTAATTTAAAAATATGTATGTACATTTCACGCTTGTTCTACATTTAAATAATTAGAATTGATATCTATAATCAAATATCAAGAGAATATAATATTTTCAGCAAGTTTTCGTGGTGGCAACTAAATGAGCACCTCCCCCCCACTTCCCGCATGCCAAGAAATAAATACATGTATGTCTACAATAGCATCTATGTATAGGTAAAGTACTATAAATAACGAATATAATGTTATAATATTCTGCTATTATGGCATCTCGTATTAATTACAAGGCTGTTTGTTCAACTATGATTTAGAATTGGAGGCTAACTTTTTTGTAGTTGTTATCAAATCGCATTATAAACGGGCTGTTTAAACTGCACGCAATGAGCCGAACCGCCAAATTATAGACAACGCAGTTCACCCATCGTCGAGCACGCGTATATAACACAATAATAAACATAATAATATAATATAAAATATAATGGTATGATATTATGACTTATAGTATTATATTATATTAAATCCTGCGAGCGAGCAGTATCTCTGGGGTATCTTTCAGAGTCGTGGTCGTCCACTGCAGTATAGCAAGTATAATAATATAATATTTTATTATTGAGGTGTTATGTCTTATATTATGTCAATTTATGTGTACAGACGTGCATAGTGTTGATAATTTCGCACGGTCGTAGCCTCAGACATATTATACTAATATATTGTACCTACAGATGTAGTAATGATGTGATGTGTCCCTGTAGGTATTGTTATTATATACCTGGTCTGTTTTATGTAAAGACAATTTTTTTTTCAAAGGTTTAAATGTTTAGGAAACAACACAAACACTACCTTAGTATTAACCCAAGCCCCATAGGTATTATACAAAAATAACACCAACTTTGAGTTAACAATTTTAGTGGCGAAACCAACAACAGTCACACTTGACAACTTTGAACTAAGGGACGCAATCTCTCACCAGTGGTTCAAAAACATACTCTAAAATCTTATCTCGTATTCAATTAAAATTAAAATTATCAAGTTTTTCTACTCACAAACAAACATTTGATCATACATTAACCGAAACAAAAAAAATTTTTAATTTTAAATACTTAGCTATAAATAGTATATAAAACGAATCAAACTATTTTGAATATTATCGTGTCTATAAAATACTAGCTAACATTAATTTTTTATGAAAAATTCCGCCTCTACTAAGAAATCATCTTCAAAGTTGAAGATTAAAGTACTTTTACTGTTCCGAAAGGTAGGCACTAGACGTCTAGACGAATACACACATCGGACATCCTTGTAAAAAAACCTCCTCTCAGAATCTAAATGAGTCACAGTTTTTTTCGAACTCAGCACCTTATATAACACATATTTTTAAATGATAGGTACATGTTTAAATGAGTAAAGTTCATTAAATGTTGTTCAAAATAAATTCATATTACCTATAATTATTGCCATAAGTCTCTAGAGTAATTTTAATAATTCCATAATAATATACGTGCACATTTTGTTTTAGTCCTCAAGGCCATTTTTCAGTAAAAAAAATCGATCGTAAAAACATGATTTTATTTGTCATCCAATAGTACTCAGGTTTCGTTGGTCGTGTAGAAACATGGTTTTGGTATCAAAATAAACATGAGAAGTTGTACTAAAAATTGTAGAAACGGATTTTTGAAATTTATTTTTTAACCAATTTCATTTGCATTTGAAGTTTATAACAAATTTTCATTTTTTTTTTTTTTTTTAAGTCAGTTAAAATTGGCAAATTTAGGTATCGAAAATCTGTTCCATGAATTTTGGTTCTATGATCAACTAGGCTACCTAAATCAGTTAAGGTCAGGATAGGGCTATTGCCATCATCATTCATCATAGACCTTATGCTAATAGACAAGAAGTGATTGCACACCGAGCGTCGAAACATAGACGGCGCTTTTCGGTGACTAGTACAGTAAGATATATAGACTATTTTATTTTGAACTTTTAAAGTCAAGATAGCCTACATCACTGCGAGATACCTGCACACAGCTCGTAATTCACTAATGCCGTTGTTATACACAGTTCTTGTCTATTAGTATAAGGTCTATGATAACAATAATGCACTTCAAGTGCATTGGGCGATGGGCTCACCAGTCACCACTTTCCCTACGCCTTAAAATGGATACCTACATCCTACACATTATATTACCTACTCTAATTAGTAGAAATATAGCATCGACATTTTTTTACAAATTTATATTTAAATGAAAACCAAATGTTTGGCACAGGCATTGACGACTGACGAGCAGGACATACCTACAGCATGCTATACAAGCAACCCAGAATTAAGAAAGAACGAAATTGTGGCAGTAACAGATTGAGAGGAAAGTATATGGCGAGCGTCGGGTGTGATGTTGAGAGAGTGAAGGAGAGAAAAGAAGCGAAAACACTCTGTCAACAAGAAGGGGCAGTCAAACAAAATATGATTAAAATCACAGACTACTGGAATGTGAGGAAAAATACAGAGGCGAGTCGGATTTAAGATCTTAATCTCTTAATATTTAGAATTGGCTCCAATGTCGGCTACCTTGTTCATATACACATAGGTGTCTCAATTGACTTAAGGGACATATAAGACCATAACTAAACGAGAGGTCAATAGGAGTCATCAGATTCAGGTAAACTATTCTCCCACTAAATATTTTTATAATATTACCCATAGACCTATTAACTTGTTATTGTACTACCATTGAGTATACAATATTATAGCACCTTAACCCAATTGTATAACTGAATATTTTCTATGGAATATAAAATAAAAGGTATGTAATTTCTATAACATTATGTACTTAAATTATATCTTTATATTATATTAGGTAATAATATTCATATTAAACTACAATTTAAAAATATTTAAGTATTCAGAATTTCATTTTCTAATATTATGAAACTAAATAATTATATCTTTTAGATCTAGAATATTTATAAGTATAAATCATTAATTTGGCATAATACATAAAATATGAAAAGTGATATATTTTGTTTAAACAAATTTATTTTAAAGTTAACAAGAATGCAAAATGGACTTAAACTAGAACAAATTAAAACCGACCAAATATCTTTCCTTTTGGTTTTGTATTAATCAACTCTTGCATTTCTTCAATTAGCGGTAATTTTGAAATATTTCCGCGAGCAACAACTGTTAGTGGAGTATCCAGAATTTTCTTAACAATTCTTACTATATCATCTTCAGTTACATTTTCTAAAAAAAATCAAATGAGATAAATTCTAAAAATAATGCTTGAGTTATAATACTAAATTGTCAAGTACTACATTATTTTAATTTAATCTTAAAATGTATCTAATTATATATGTTTACTTAAATTATAGGAATTATTGTTTCTACACATTTATTGTTAAATTATTTTTCTCTACACAAAGTGTTCCCATTAACAAACTACATTAATTTTCTTGATCAATTTTTTTTCATTTTTATCAATAATTGTTTTACGTATTTTTAAATTTTTAATGAGGACCTATACTTTAGATTTATAATTGAAAGCAGAATATTTTTTTTTTTTTAATGTGCAAGAGTATAATAAAGTATTGAATCAGTAGTTTTTATAAACAAGGAGAATCCAGATATACAAAGATTTTCATATTTTTATTCTCGTTTAACTAAAATATTTGAGCAGTCGTTACTAAGCTCAGAAATTATCGAAGCTAGACATAATATACATTTAAATAAAATGCAAAAAAAACTTTAAGCTTCAAAGTATATAAATGTATAAGTTATTATTTATTAATATTGATGTATTAATATTATTTTCCTTATTTTATTAAGTAAAGAAAAATCTGTGGACTACTAGTGGTTGGTTGTCGATTGACAACAAGACACTTGATCAAATAAAATTGGAGTACTAGACTTGACTCCTTAAATACTTGTGCAACCCAATACTTTGTATTTAAAACTTACCAATTTCTTGGAGAAGTTCTTCTGGTCTTTTTCTATAACCACACGATATAATTTGCCTAACCATGTCTTCAAAAACAATAGGACGTGCTTCTAAATTCATCAGTAGGAGTGACTGCAATTGTTTCTTTGCTCTCTATAAAATAAATAATGTCATTAAATATGAACCTTTATAATTAAATTAATACGTACAGCAAGTTCTTCTCTTTGAATATTACTAGCCATGTTTGCAATTTCAAACACAATGACTTTAACCATATCGCGCACATATTGTGGTTCAGCACTAGCATGAATGCAGAATAATCCACTATCAGTATACGCATGGTTGTAAGCAGTAGCACTGTACAACCAACCATACCTAATCATACAAGTATAATATTATTGAGATTACATTTTTTAATAGTCAATACGCATTAATTAAGCCAGATGCACACCAAAGCAGTACAAAAGAGGTTGCCAGGTTATTGCAGTGAGTCATGGCAGTTTTTTTGTTTTCTGCATTGGTGTACGCCCAGGGCCTTATTATATTATTATTATAATGTGTGTTTGTACATTGTTATTTAAAAAATCACATGCATACCGATTCAAAACATTTCTATACAGTCTTGTGTACATTCCTTTACCAGGTCCACCTGCACTAAAAGATCCACCACCACCCATCATCAGATTTAATACACACGATGGAACAAAATCATTAGTACCCACTAGAGGTATAGATTCCAGACCAATCATTACATGCGATAAAACAGCTAAACCAGATGGTCCAGGAAATGCAGGAATATCACAATCTTCCTAAAATGTTTAAATATGTATTAAACAATTAATAAATATTTTAAATAATAATAAGTACATACTTTGATTATTCCACCAGTGTATTGTGGTATTGAGTTATCAATACTAATTGTATCAAGCTTTTCATTGTTCCAAATTGGTTTTTCATCAACAAAGTACCTAAATATAACAAATAATGAAATAAGTAATAAGTGAAAATAAAATTAATTTTATATAATTTGTGTAATATTAATTATTTCAAGTACTTTTGTACACTATCAACAAGTTGTTGATGATCTACTCCAACTCCTCCAACAACAATTCGTTCAGGTACATAATGGTTTTTCAGATAAGTAAGTAGAACTTTACGATTAATTTTGGATACATTTTCAGTTGGACAAAGTTTTGATAATCCCAATGTATTTTGTTGGAAAGCAGCCTAAATAAAAATTTGTCCTTAAGCAAAATAAAAACCAATTTATTTAAAATATTTAAAAGTATTTACCATATGCACTAAATTTTCAAGCAATTGATCTTGTTCAGGTCTTATCATTAGTGTATCATGCTCAAATAAAATTGCTTTACTTGCAGCCATTACCTGTAATTTATTATATAAGAACAATAAAATTAGAAACTTAAAATTATTTTAACATCAAAACTTATTTTGATTTAAATTTTTGAATTCTCAGAACATAAAAAAAACTAGCCAGAATATAATGTTTGAACAATTATTTATAATTGATATTATTTAAAATAAGTAAATAATTAAATTAAATATTATAAATTTTAACCTCGTCTTCTGTAATCCTAGGCCGTAAAACTACATCAGCTAGAACTTTTATAATATTATCCACATATTTTCTATTAGCACTTGCCGCATATAACACTACATCTCTATAATAAAAAGCAACAAATAAGACAAAAGTAATAAAACTATATTATAATTAGATAAAAAATTACCGAGAACATTGTGCATCACACAAACCGTTATATTTTTCAATTTCATCCAAAATTTCATTGTCTCTAGGAAAATTAGAAGTTGTCTAGTAACAAAAATAATTTTAAAAATTATCTTATATCAACAAAAATATTGATCAGTAAAATAATGAAATATTACTCACATTAAAAGCCAATTTTTCAAGGAAATGATTAACACCGCTTGGATATTTTACTTCATATCGACAACCAGAATTTACCGCCACTAATAAATAATTAAATAATAAGTTTAAGTACAATAAATAAATATTATGTGTCCAAAACATTAGCTAAATAAAAATCTATTTAAAATTTACCTCCAACAGTACAAAATTCTCCATATGCAACTTCAGACGCCACTCGTATTCCACAAGGTAATTGTGTGATATTTGTTTTCACATTATGAAGCTTATGTTCACTGTATACAACATTTGGCAAGTTTGGTAATGTTTCAGTAAGTGGAGGTTGATTGAAAGAACATATATTCTCAACTTTTGATGAAAACTTACATGATGTATTCCTAACATTAAAACAGTTTATTTAATATACAAATTTTAATTTGTTTTATCATACAGGTTTACAGTTATCTATCATACAAGATTGAAATTAATTAGGTATCTACCTATTACATTTATTGGTTTTATTTAACTATTATAATATCATGTAAACAATCTAGAAATTTGCAAGGCTAAATCTGTGTGAAAAATAACTCACCAGGATGTTTGGATCATATCATTTACATGGTTCAATGTGAGATAATTTTAAACCAGTTTAGCCAAGCGAATTTCCAGAATATGTGTACTAAATGATAAATCAGTTTCTTCTCCTCTCACAACCTAAAAGTCCATTCCTATAGTACTATATGTGACTAGCACAATTAACAAGTATTAACTTATACTTGTTAATTTGATTAAAACTTACAAGTTTACTGAACATTATAAATCATAAATAACTGACTAGAAGAATATTCACGAAAGTAATGCAAAATGATAAATAAATTAAAAATACCTACTACTATTACTAAAATAAAATTATAAATTGAGAATATTCGTCACTAACAATTATTTCTTAACTGTAATGTGTAGTTTCAAAAGTGCTACTTTTTAGATACTACTACTAATAATAATGTAGTTATAATTTATTTGTTTCTGACACGTAACTATATTTTTATAGACATAATACCAACGATCCAAGGAATTCAAATTGAAAACTCATTAATATTGGTTTAAAAATGCACACTACACTACGATGACATAGTGTTATGATTTATGAAGGAAGCAAATAATAAGAGATTTTTGAATTATACATACAGTTCTTTTAATGACTTTTTTCTACCGAAATACTTCAAACACGACAATGAAGATAGTCGAGGTGTCATGATAACCGGCGTTTTACAAAACGCAGTGGCCATTTTCACGTTCACCGTGAACGCAGCGACTATATTCACGTCCGACGTGAAACTATGAATGTTCACGTTCTGTCCCCGGCCTGATTGGACGTAATATTATTACTGATAATATATCAAATATCATTATATCACAGAATATAACTGCTGTTATCTTAGTTCGCTTTATCATAGATTCATGGACTATGCCATAGATAATAGATATATGGTGTGGTAAATATGTATGTATACATGTTCTTTTTTGAATAATTTTAATAAACTACCATATATTTCGTTGTGTTAACCTTTTTTCCTAGGTAAACAACCATTAAACGCTTTATTACAATATTTATAAATAGGTGAGGTTTTTAATCAAATAGCCGCTTGGTCGAACCGTAGGTACCTCAACCCCCCCCCCCCTTTAGAAAAATAGAAAATTAAAAAATTTCTAGTTTATTCTAAAATTTGAAAAAAAAATTTAAACCATTTTTTTTTTTTAACTGAATAAATAATAAATACTTTATATATCTATATTATGATCGATTTATGTATGTATATATTTATAGTATAGTGCTCAAGGTGGCAAGGTGTATGATAGCGTAAACGTATCTTCTCGTCGAATTACGGAGCCTTTCGTACACGTAGTCACGTAGAATGGTCATAACTCATAGATAGAGGGCACTTTTCGTGTGTGACTTGTGACTGCACAATATTAAAATTATATATTATATATAATATAATATATATACAATAATATAATTGAAAAAATAAAAATGAAATGCTACCTTCTAATGCATTGGATGCCATCAGGTGTTGTGACCCAATCATATTCCCTAATATATTTATGATATTAAAAATGTTGTGCTGTCTCCCTGTTTCTACTTCAACACCAGAAAGGTCTTTTTCTGGCTTAAAAAGAATAAAAACCTGCCTCAGAAACAGTATGAAAGAGGCATGTATTATGTATAAACAATAAATTCTAATTAACCTGATTATTTTGATTTAATTTTATTGAATTGTTTGTCAAACAGGATCGTCTCAATGGTTTAGTGTTAGTGAGTTATTACCTATAGGAATGTTGTTATCACGCCAGATGAAGTATTAAATGAAATGGCAAAGAAGCCGAGAAAAATTGACTTAGATGTTATAATGAAAATATAATGTTTTATTCTCACTATTTTGATGTTTTACTCAATGTAATTTCCTATACCTAGTAATATCCTCTATAAAATTTCTATCTATGGAACTGAACCCTCTCCATAGAAAATTCTTAGCTACGGCCCTGGGCCCTGGTGGCCTGGTGTAACTACTAATCATACTATAATCATAGTAAATAGCCTATTTATGCAGTTCCGTGTGTTATGAATTTTATAGATTTAAATACTCCGAATAATATTCTGTTTCTGAATCTGAAAGAAAAAATATACCGTATCATCCAAAGAAGTAAAAAACTCGAAAACTAATGATGATAATATTATATTATAATATTTATCATCTGTGGTAAAAGCCAATCGTCGTCACTCATATATAAGAGACGATTCAAAATTCGTATAATTTCAATGAACAAAAGAGAAATAATTAAACACAACATTCACTAGTTTTGACTCACATATTTCATTCTGCTCAAGAATTTTTATGAAATTTCTCGATCCTTTTAGTTCGAAGTGAGATGAAGAAAGCAGTTCCTGGATATGGTTCTGCACTTTAGATATGACACAGCTATATTTAAGCCGAAGAGTCAATGTTCCTATGTCCTATTCCTATAATCCTATACGTAAGTTTGATTACCTATTTTTTTGGGGCTTCCTTATTTTATTTTTTAGTTTTAAAATTAAAAATTTATCGCCAAGGAGAATTTGCTACCCGGGTGACGTAGGCGCATATTTTTTATTCCCGAGCGTGCAACACAAAAAATACGCTAGAACAAACGACGATGGCATATCCAGGTCGCAGAATAATAATATATTTATGCAATTAAATAGGTATAAATAATGTTGTACATACTAGTCAATAGTCATACTACAGTAGTACTTATAGCAGTGTCGTAGCTCGACACTTTTTTCTGGGTAGGCCCGATATTTTGATGTAAGGATAACCAATGAATATTTTTATAAAATAAAAAAGTATCAGAATAGTGTATGTAATACATATTACAAAATAACCACCATTTTATGTTTTAAAACGAATAGTACAAAATAAAGTTAATAAAAAAGATATAGCTTTATTAAAATATTTTTAAATTGAAAATTCCAATTTTCTTTTTTTCATTGATGCAAACTCGTCAATCACAGCAGATAGATTTTCTATGAATTTTCCACTTATTTCTCTCTCAATAAACAGCAAAGTTAAATTATTTAGTCTGCTGCTTGTCATCGTTAACCTTAGATGTGTTTTAACTCTTTTCATCGTCGAGAAATTCCTTTCTGCTGAGGCACTAGATACTGGAACTAAACAATGGAACTACCAAAACATTTTCATTAATTTTTGTTAATTCTTCAAATCCAACTTTGTATTTTTTACTTCTTGATATAATTCAAAAAGATCAGATACAGATAAAAATAAGGTTTTTCCCAGTTGACATTGACATTTTAATTTGGTAATAAATTCATTTGATCGATAAAATGGAAATGTTTCTGCATAACGACAAATTATTTCACTGTCTAAAAATTTTGATGAATTTTGGTCTAAAGCTTCTTAAGTTGCGTTCACATCGTCATTTGTATTAAAACGTCGGTTCATTTCGAAATATAATACGTCTAAAATATTAAAAAATATTTTTTTTTGTTCTGTTTTCATGTCATCAGATGAATAAGCCTATATTTTACCAGTGGTAATAGTTATAAAATAATCGGCTAAAGTATTTAATTTTGTCGTGTTCTATTTGATGATGACAAATTATCACTTGATGGCGTAAATATTTAAGAATTTTGAGCAATAACCAATGATTGCTTATATAGTTCAAAAAACTTTTCATTACGTAACTCTAATACTTGTTGCTTTGTTGCATTAATTAATAATGTACAACGTTTTATATCAAGAGTAGTTGATTGCAGGTTAATTGATAAGCAATTAATGATATTTAATATTTCGTTTAAGCACACAATTATTATGATAACTTCAAACTTAGCAAACTGTATGGCTAAACCCTTTGCCTCTGCAGCTTCTTGTTTTTTAGTACTTTCTCTAAAATAAATGCATTAAGAACATTTAAAATATCAATTAAATGATTTTTTTAAAATTTAATACCTTTGTGTTTTGATTGTTTTGAAACCCTCCTTGCTTCACAATGTTGTGGTACTTTGTACTTGGTATCTTGTAAAAAAGCACGATTACGAATTGTAGATACCGATTGGAATGAATAAATGGCTTCTAATAAACCGAGTATTTCATCTACTTCTTGTATATTTTTTGCTAAATCAACTAGAACTAAGTTTAACCTTTGAGCATAACAATGAATATACGGACACGGATTTTCTACTTATTCCCTTATTTTTGTTTGAACACTAGAAAAAGCTCCGGACATTACTGTCGCACCATCATATGATTGACTTACACAATTTGAAATTATTAAAAAAAAATATTATGCCATCACACAGTGCTTGAGCATTTAGTAATATAAGATATAACTGTAGAGGACCTGATTATTTGGAAATCTATTTGAATATCAATTTTAATACAAAAATTTATTTTTTTTTGTTCAAGGATTTTTTTTGATACAATATTATAGAGGTTAGAGATTTACAATGTACTTTCGATTTTCACAAGCTACATAAATTAATGTAAAATTGATTTATGTAGCTTGTGAAAATCGAAAGTACATTGTAAATCTCTAACCTCTATAATATTGTACCTATCAAAAAAAATCCTTGAACAAAAAAAAATAAATTTTTGTATTAAAATTGATATTCAAATAGATTCCAAATAATCAGGTTCTTTACAGTTACATCGTATACTACTTAAAATATGTTTGTATTATTCATTTTATAATTTTCATTTTTTAGATTCTTGAAATGCATTTGCCTGCAGGCGCCCATGTTCCCCTTCTCATTTTTAAAATTTTATTCTAGTTGATATATTTCATACACATTTTTTTTAAACTTTGATAACCAGCTTGTGCCCTCATAGAATTATTGTTTATTCAACTTTATTATTCTGAGAATTATTTTAGGTCAATGAATTTGGAGATTGTAGTCTGCAGTCTTCATAGTGTGCCTGTTTAGTGTTTTCCTTGATATTTTTTTTCTCTGAGCATTTGTAAAGTACCTATTGGATATTGAACATTTTTACTTTTACCCCTAGGAAACAATTATATACCTACATCTGAAACCAGAAAAGATACTCGATGTTGAAAATCGATAAGTATAATGTCTACTATACAACGTGTACAGGTATAGATTATATTTAGATTATATATACATAGTAAGGACCTACAATGGCCGGGCCGGCCCGAAACTGTCCTTAAAAAGCTCGGCCTGTAGTGACATTGGACTGGGCCTGGCCTTTAAAATATAATAAAGGTTGGACCGAGTTTTTTAAGTCTTGGAATTATATTCCGGACCGGGCCACAGTTTTTTGGTATAATTCGTCAGACTGAGCAGGGCCAGATTTCGAATAATAAATCAAGGGTTGGACCGGGCTTTTTAACGATTTTTCTTCGACAATAATCATAATTTAAAAAATGACCCCAGTTACCGTTGTTATCATTAAAATATTACATGTGGAAATTTTACAATATTTTTAAACCAGTCTTACAAAAAAAAACCTAAGACTGGACTGGGCTTTTTTTAAACAAAACCTTATGCACTATCGTTAAAAAAATTTGGCGGGCAAGGCCGGGCTTGAGAATAAAATTGATGGACCGGACCGGGTCGAAAATTTACGGCCCTTGCAGGTCTATAATACGCAGCCATACAGGCACAAAAACAAAATAATAAACACACACCACAGTAAAAACTAAAAACAATACATTCATCGCGAGTACCTGTTTAAAATGTTCATTACCGAAAAACCAAAAAAAAAAAAAACAGAGCTTTACGTTTAACTAAATATCCACCTCCTTCCAGAACAAAATCAAAACTACACCACAACTAAGTGCTAGCTGAAGCAAAATATGTACCTATACTAAAAACAGAATAGCAATTAACATAAAAGTTGTATTTTTACTAAATTACATAGGATTTTAGGAATTTAAAGACAAGTACCAATTCAACTTTAAACAATAACATGTCAAGCTCAGAATTTAAATATTGTGTTAAAAAGTGATTATTTCTTTCTATAAGAGGTACCTAGATATTAAAAATATGATGTTCCTCAAAAAGCTGAGCCATAGCTCATATGGTAAATACAGTTAACTTCTCAAACTAATTGTGTAAGAAAACTTTTATGTGTATTAGGTACCTGAAAAAGGGAGACCAATAGTTATAAAATAGAATATTAATTAAATTAGTTTACTAGTAACAATTAAATTTACCAACTAGAATTAACTTAGTTTACACAGAAATTTGATTACTCATTTAATTAACATTAACAATTATTGGTCTTCAGTTATTGGGTAACCCTCAGAAACTTTTTACCAATTATTAATAATATCTATAATTTATAAGTAAACAAGGTTATTGATTATCACTCGATATTTATGCTGTGAGTATGACTATTAACTACAGCAACATCATGTTACTAATTCTCCAATTTCAATTGGCTGTGCTGCAAGGTATTGTCATAGACTATATTTTATATAGTCTGCGGTATTGTGAAGTTGACTATTTTTATAAAGTAGTTATATATTTTTATATATTCTTACTACTACCCTAAACCCACAGGTCACATATGTCGGATATTGTATAAGCAAGGTCCCCATCATAAATTTGTAACAACCCTAAAAACACCATAGATCATAAACTATAGTGCTAATGCTAAAGGTTTTTTCTTTTGGATCATAGAAACATACTTGTAAGTACTTAGAATATTGAAGTCTACGATTTTACAATATTATAATGAATAGGTAAGTTATGACAGAAATCGAATGATTGCGTCTTAACCTTTTTTATGACAACACCAAAATCTAAATCCATAAAAATGGCAACACAGTTAAAAAATTATTGGATTTTTGAAAAAGAAGACAACACTTATATACCTAGTACCTACCTATATTATGCAATTTGAGAATGAAAGTCAATTTTTACAATTGTTTTTCTTTTTTATGGTTTTTACCATCACATCATATACTTATACTTTAAACATGTATAAAGTACACAAACAAATTTTTTTGGCAACACACATCACAGAAATTAGCGACACACTAGTGGCAAACCACTGGTCTAATGTATAAATTATACAGTAAACTTCAGTAATCCAATCAAATGCCTATGCATTATGATAACCAGTGGTGAAAAGTCATCATATTATAAAGTAAACCTGGGACAATATAATAATCATATTATACAGGAAATAAGAAGAAATATTGTTCAAAAAGAAAAAACAATTATTTATTTTTGTAGAAATGTTGAATGATTTTTAATTGAAGACATTTTAAGTAGGTACTTATGTATTTTATTATTTAACTAATGGTAACAGAAATATTGAAATGTTAATATTATATAATTTAAATTAACATATAATAGTATTTATCCACAACCGAATAGATACAAAAAATAATTCTCAACTGCGGGTAACAATTTCACAAGACTTAATACGATAATATTATGAACATCAGAAAATATTTACAAATTTTTAATGAAAATATAATAAATTGCTCCATAAGTTTGACATTTGTTTATAACAAGGAGAATCTTTTGGGATAATATTTATTTGAAACCTCTTAACATAAAAATAATCTTTTTTTTCTTTTTTTAAATAATTTACACAATAAATACAATTTTGTATTTTATAAGTTCTATAATTATTTGTGTTTGCACTTATGTGCTAAAATAATGTAATAAATAATAGCATCAATTTTTGACTTTAAAAAAGATAACTTAAAATATTAAAAAATTATTAACTATTAAAAATTATTGTTACATAATAGTATTGTGCAACTGTTTTTTAAACACTTATAATTGTTTAGACATTATGCACAACCTGCCTTTAAAGTAACAGTGGCTCTGTCAGCATAACTGTTGAAGTGATTTGAATTTTAAAAAAATTACCATAAGATACTTTATGAACGATGTGCTTAATGTTATGTGACTGTGAAGATAAAATAACAAAAAGCAAGTAAAAAATTAATTATAGAATAATTAATAGTAAAATTACTTTGCATAATGATTTAGGTAATGTATATAGGTACTCAATAATATACAAATAGAAAATCAATAACAAATTAGAAAATTAGCTTAAAACATTTTTTTTTTGACTTCTGTATATCTTGTCATGTATGTGCTATACTCTTCTAAAGCTAATAAAGATTTCATATCAAATAAATTCCCTTCAACACATAACAACGACACTTTAGATGATGTTAATAATTCTTTTGGAATATCATCCAGTTCAAGACAATTTTCTTCTACACGCAAAGTCTTCAACCTGGGGCATTGTGCTAAACCAGATGGCAATTTTCTAATTTGATTTTGATTGAGGTTTAGTTCAACCAGTCTGGACTGTTTAATAAGTTCAGGTAATTGAGTGATGTTATTCTTAGATAAATCCAATGCTTCTAGATGTTTTAATTCGCACAAAAATTCTGGGAATATACTGAGCTGATTGTCTCCGAACGAGGCACGTTTTAGAAACATCAAATTATTCATTGGAGGTAATGACTTTAATAAATTACAATTCACCTGTAATGTTTCAATCTTTGACAAGCAGTTTATTTCTTCAGGTAGATTTTCTAACAAGTTGTTGCTGACATTAAGTATCTTTAGTTCTTTGAATTGACCAATAGATTTTGGTAATATTTTTAACTTGTTTTTAGACAATTCCAAATTTCTTAAAAAAGGATGAAGCACGTCAATGGAATCTGGATACTGTTTCAGATGACTATCCGATAAATTTAACACACCCGTTTTTCTGGATGTTTCAACATGGTTCTTTAAGCTTGATGTGTTTCCCATCTTTGATTATTTTCATTTATTTTAAACAAAAATCACTATAAAATATGAATTAAAACAGAATTTTTACTTATTAGTTAATCTTAATTCCTAGGTACTTAAAAGTTAATATTAAATATTAATCAATATTATTCCATAATCAAGGTGTAAATTTAATACTAATCAACCTTGTCTTAAACTCCTAAACTTCTGTGGTCAGTGATAATACTTTTATTCTAATATTCTTTATTATTGTTCTGTGGTTGTACTGTAAATTGTTATCTATTATCACAAGAAATATTATAATGTTATCATG